AAATGCGCTTTACACAATTGATGTATGGTGATAAGAGTTGTATGAGCCCCTAATAAAATGATTTTAAAAAAAACAGTATCCTGATTGCTCCTGGTGTTGAGATTTTCTTGGTGAAAAAAGGGCTTTATTTTCAGTCACAATGCCCTCGGACAATGCAGGTCACACACTCTGCTTAGCTGCCTCTGACACCAGTGCTCTCTGGGGCACAAGGATGTGTGGTCCCACTTGCTCTTCCTCCCATCCAGACCAAGTATGTCACTGAGGTGACATTAAGCTCGCTGCTGTCAGATCATCCTACTCTGGTAGGATTTTTCTCCTGGAAACTTGCAAATATTCCACATCCTGCACTTACATTTTGATACATTCATCCCACCTGATACATTCATCCCACCTGTCTCCCATCAACCCAGAGTGGCTTGAATTTATGTTTTCACAATGACTTTTAGAGATGATTTTTTTGGGTGCGTCATAGCATCAGTCTTAGGAAATGATGGCAGAGAGACCGGAAGCTACACTCTCACTGCCTAGGTTGTGATGAGGGGGCAGACAAGGTTCAGATTCCTTTCCTTATTTTTGTGGACAATCTGCTAGGAGCTTGCTGTTGGGAAGAGCCATTGAGTCAATTCTAATTCATAGAGACAACAGAAAAGAACTGCTCATTCCTTCACCATCCTCGTAATCACCATTGTTGGAGGATAGTGAGACTTCATCTCATGCGCTTTGGACATACAATCAGGAGAGACCAGTTCCTGAAGAAGGACATTGTGCTTGGCAAAGGAGAAGGTCAGGAATAAAGAGGAAGGGCCTCAATGAATTAGATTAATCCCGTGGCCCGAGTCAGGCACATCTTCGTTCTCAAAGTAACCAGGGCTCAAAGATCACAGCAGCGGTGATGACGCCACAGGCCCAAGTCAGGATGTGTTGTCCTGGATGTGGGGTTGCTAGGAGCCCAGACCAGCCCTGTGGCACCTAACAACACGGTGGAGTCCACCGGTGCAACCACTGGGCCAATTAATCTCCTTCAGAATCTTCTTTTTCTTTTTTTTAATAGTTTTATTGACATGTCTTACACAATCCAATATATCCATTCACATACAATTTTGTTGCTCAATCGCATCAGGTGGAGTAATACAATCATCAGCTCCCCATTCCACCATCCTCAAGAATCTTCTTTAGCATTGACCCTCCACTTGATGAAGCATGAGGCCCTTCTACCAGACCTCGTTCCTCTTGATAATATGTCCAAAACACGTGAGAAGACTCACCATCCTCTCTTCTAAGGAGTATTATGGTAGTATTTCTAAAACATTTGTTCGTTCTTTTGGTAGTCCATAGTATATTCAGTATTTTTTCCATCACCATAATTCAAAAACTCTTTTTAGCTTCCTTATTCATTATCCAGCTTTTGCATGCAAAATAGGTGATAAAAAATACTGCGGCTCCAGTCAGGCATACCATAGTTCTTCAAGGTCTTTTGCAGCAGGTTTGCCCAAGGCTATGAATGCATCATTTGATTTCTTGACTGATAAGAGCTTAAAGGCTTATTATTTAGCTTCTAGAAGTAGTTAGCAAAGTAGAAATTTGAAATTTTGAAACAAAAAAAGACCATAAAAATCACTTAGTGATACACTCATTCTATATAAGAGAAAAATTCAAGCTCAGAGAAATTAAATGAGTTGCTGGCACCAGGTAGATAGTAACAGAATAATTAATGTTTTCTCCCTTGGGGTTTGAGATAGAGTAGGCAACCCACAACAAAAATCTCTGGGTCTCTAGGCATAACCCTCTCTTCTACTGTGTACAGAAGCCCCCTTCATTTCCACGCACTCTAGAGTTCAGTCTACAAGAGCAGGGATGGCATAGCAAACGAGTATTGAGCTATACAAAATGAACATACTCAGTTGTGGTTTATGGTGGAACAAGTCATGGAGAGGGTTTGCTTAGTATGTTCAAAAGCACAAGAAAGTAATAGCAACAGAAACAAGAAGAACAGAAGTAAAGATAGAAGCATTAGGGTTGCTATGAGTTGGGATTAACTCTATGGCAGTATTGTTATTTTTATTTTATTTTTTTCCTAATTTTATTAGGGGCTCATACAACTCTTATCACAATCCATACATACATCAATTGTGTAGAGCACATTTGTACATTCATTGTCCTCATCATTCTCAAAACATTTTCTTTCCACTTAAGCCCCCAGCATTAGGTCCTCATTTTCCCCTCCCTCCCCACTCCCCCATCCCTCATGAGCCCTTGATAATTTATAAATTATTTTGTCATATCTTGCCCTGTCTGACGTCTGTCTCCCTTCACCCACTTTTCTGTTGTCTCTCCCCCAGGGAGGAGGTCACATATAGTTCCTTGTAATCGGTTCCCTCTTTCCTACCCACTCTCCCTCTAGCCTCCCAGCATCGCCACTCACACCACTGGTCCTATAGGGATCATCCACCCTGGATTCCCTGTATTTCCAGTTCCTATCTCTACCAGTGTACATCCTCTGGTCTAGCCAGACTTGGAAGGTAGAATTCAGATCATGATAGTGGGAGCGGGGAGGAAACATTTAGGAACTAGAGGAAAGTTGTATTTTTCATCGTTGCTACATCGCACCCTGACTGGCTCGTCTCCTCCCCGAGACCCCACTGCAAGGGGATCTCCAGTGTTGTTTTTATTTTTGATAGTTAATTACAGCATGATTTAAAATGTAATTTACATTAAATAGTGAGCATGACTTGGATCAATAACTCTTCAGTTAATCAGAAGTTAAGGTTAATTTCATTTACTTAGCCAATTTCAGATGTTCAGAACATACTTTTATTTTTTTAAGATCTATCTTCAAATAGTGAGGTAAAACCACTAAGGCTTCTAATCCATATGCAATATCAAGAAAGCTAGATATAGTAAATCTCTAAGTACAGTGTCAGTACAAACCTGCTGTCACTCTCCTAGCTGGTCCAGGGAGAAGTAACATAGCCCTAGGGGATGTACCTGGGTGTGCCCCTACTGGAAATTAGGGTGCTAGAGTCTCGTGGTCGAGTCACATCTTGGTGAGAGGGCTCTGAACCAATCTTGTACGCTCTTGTGTCCAACATTAATAATGTACATGTCCCATGTCTGCTTCTCCAGTCCACAATCACTGATGTTACTGTGATGGCCTGCTGCCAATCATACTGCCATGATAGGTTCCTTGTCCTCCCATGTCCTTTTTAAAGTCCGGATCTCTGAAAACTCTTAGACACCTTGATAGACCTCCTGCTACTTGTTTCCCTCACCTGGATGATGTCTTTTTCTTGGTTTTGTCTTAAGACTTCATAAATGTTCTCATTAAATTAAACTTTGAGACTTGCGGTCTCTTTTGTACCCTAAAACAGTGTGATTACTCTTTGCATCATTGGCATGAGGAATAGTAAACAGAATCAGAATAAAATAAGAAATGAGAAGTGTATACTGTTTTTCATTAACAGCTTCTTTTAAATCCCTAAGAGATTTTGCAGCTCTAATTCGTTGGGAAACAGGACAAAACTGCAACTTGTAAACCACGTCAAATTGTGGCAATCTTCAAAGCAATTCCATCCTGTCCTATGCGGTCACTATGAGACGAATGGACTCCAGGGCTGTGAGTTTGAGCAGATTTGGTCCCGTATCCGCGTCAATTCTGCGCCTGCGCAAACCAACCTACCTGCGAGGTCCCGCCCAGGTCCCGTAGCTGCCGCCCCGAAAGGAGGGCGGGGCCAGGATGACAGCGGGCCCGGGCGCGCGTGGATGACGTCACTCGGCGCGTGCCCGGGTAGCCCGTAGTAACCGGGCATCTGCGGAAGTGGAGACCCGTGGGCGGGCGGCTGATACAGGTAACCTGTGCGTTCCATCCTTCCCTCCGGCCTTGGGATGGTGGCGGTGACAGCCACATCCCGTTCTGAAGGCGCGGGGAGCCAGCTCCTATCCCCCTCGTTGGTCGCTTTCTGGGGACCCCCCTCTCTTCTCCGTCCTCCCAGCCCATTCTGGGGACTGGGTGAGCAGCAACTTCTTCCTCCGAGTTTGGGGGAGCAGTGGTCCTTGATGCTTCTCTTTCAGGCGACACAGACCCTTAGCCCCTTTCCTCTGTTGCCTACAGGCCCTCTTCACCCTTCCCTCTGCGCTGCTAGTCCCGAAAGGCTCATCTGCAGTCCGGTCCAAGGAGACAACACTTTCCAATTCCGTTCATTTCCACTTGGAGTGAAATCCATTTTGCCCCATTCCTGGAGGATCTTTACCGAGAGCGTCGAGTTTTGAGTTTAAGTGTTATGAAGGAACATGGGTTCTTTATCGGTTTTGCTCCCTACTGCATGAGTGGTTACAGTGGGCAGTGACATGAAAGTCTGCTGGGATCATAAAGGATGCCCTTGGGAGCAATCAATTGTTTCAGTGCAGGGAGCAATGACACGTTTTCATTATAATGCCCCTAGCCCCTGGGTTTTAAAATCTTTTTTCTAGTAATGAGGACAATTTTCCACGCAAGGTAGCTTATTACCCATCAAAAACAAGCAGTGGAATCTTCTAGGACTATTTAGAACGCTTAAACAACAGGATTCATATTGTTGGCCATACAGGTTATTACAAAACCAGCCAGAAGCACAGCTGCTGGGAGATGTATGTGGGAAAACAAGCAGAGTTTTGAATCTTTGATCTTACTGCTGGCTTGGCTTTGAATGTCTTGCACTTTTTGTGTGTTCTATTTATAAAATAAAGCGCAATATACTTCATATAATTCTGTGAAGCTTCCAAATTGGTAATCTTTTTTATTCCAATATGTTGACATAGTGGTGAAGCACTCAGCTTTATTCAAAAGGTTGAAAGGTCGCTGGTTCTAACAGCTGCTCTTCTGGAGAAAGCTATGACAACCTACTTCCATAAATATTATGTATAAATAACAATATATACTATATTAAGGGTTTGCAAGGGTGGGAGAGTGGCAGGGTAGGGGGAGGGAGGGAAAACAAAGGAACTGATATCAAGGGGCTCAAGAAATACAATATTTTGAAATTGTTGATGGCAATATTTGTATAATGGATGTATGGACTGTTATATGTAAGAGCCCTCCATAAAATGATTTATAAATAAAAAAACATTTTTGTAAAGATTACAGTGTTGGCAACTTTGGGAAAGGACAGGGTCTCAATGATTCAGAGTTGACTCAATGGCAGTTTTTATTTGTGTATTCAAGTGGAATAAGGCTAGGGAGATAATACTTGTTGCTGATTGAGCTCTGAGGCTTTGTGCTCCAGTAAAGATTTAGAGCCTTGTAAACCCACAGGGGACAGTAGTACTCTGTTCTGTGGGCTCATAATGTGTCAGAATTGACTCGGTGGTAGTGAGTGAGTTTGTTGAAATCTCCTGTTTCCCAGGAACTATGGTCAACACTTTGCATAAGTATTCTTATTAATTTGCATAAGGACTCTGTCAGTCAGCAATTGTCTCCAATGTACAGAGAAGGAAATGGGGTGGTGGTTTTATCTTTGTTGTTGTTAGTATTGAGTTGATTCCAATTCATAGCTACCCTATGGATGACAGAACAAAACATTTCATGGTCCTGCACCATCCTCAAACTTGTTCATATGTTTGAGCTCATTGTTGTAGTCACTGTGTCATTGCATCTTGTCAAGGGCCTTCCTGTTTGCTGCTACCCCTACTTTACCAAGCATGATGTCCTTCTTTAAAGCCTGGTCTCTCCTGACAACATATCCAAAGTCCGCAAGACAAAGTCTCACCATCCTTACTTCTAAGGATTAGTCTGCCTGTACTTCTTCCAAGACAGATTTGTTTGTTTTCTTGGCAGTTCATGGTACTCTCAATATTCATTGTCAGCACCATAATTAAAATTCATAGATTCTTCTGTCTTCCCTGTTCAGTGTCCAGCATTCAACATGGTCTTGTGCAGCAGATTTATCCAATGCACTACATCGTTTGCTCTCTTGGCTGCTGCTTTGATGGGCATTGATTGAAGCAAGACGAACATTTTGACAACTTTTAATCTTTTCTGCATTTATCACTGGACCTCTTGGTCCAGTGGTGAGGATTTTGCTCTTCTTTAGATTGAATTGCAATCCATACTGAAGACTGCTGCAACTGATCTTCATCAGTAAGTGCTTCAAGTGCTTCCTCTTCACTTTCAGCAAGCAAGGTTGTGCATATTACAGGTTGTTAATAAGCCTTCCTCCAAACTGAATACTTCATTCTTCTTCAGAGAATTCAGCTTCCCTGATGATTTGCTCAGCATACAGATTGAACAAGTGTGGTGGGTGAGCGGATGCCACCCTGAAAATGACTTGCCAAGTCATTTCTAGTGATGCATGTTCTTTAAGCACTTGCTGAGCCAAGATTTAAATCCAGGTCTGTGTCTGACTCTAAAGTCCTACTTTTAAAAAATACTGTATTTATGAACAAATTCTATGCCTTTTAAAACAGTCATACATAATCCTTTGAGTTTGTTCACTCACCTATCCAAATTATTTGACATTGGCATTATTTTTAATATGAAATTCTAATATACCTGTTATTCAAACACTGGGAAGCTCAATTTTTGCCCCTCACTCCCTGCCCCCCCCCCCACTATACTTATCACTGAAAGGGAGACAAATGACAAGAAAAGTTACGTATGAAATCCCTTCTGATTATAGTTCTAATGGAATGAGGAACTCTGAATAGTTGAGAGTGAGCTTTTTTAGAAATGAAAATTATATTGATTATTTTGTATGAAAATTTAAAACGTAATAAACAATTATTTGCCTTCCTTAATAATGAACAGATTCTAACCTTCTCTTAAGGAGCCCTTGCTGGGCTGTGGGTTAGGTGCAGTCAGCAATCCCTACGCCCTGCGACTGCTTCCGTGAAGTTAGAATCTTGGACATTCTATAGGGTCTCTATGAGCCAGAACTGACTGGATGGTAATGTGCTTTGTAGTTTTTGTAGTCCATTCCTCAGTGCCACCAAGAGATAGCAAAGCTTAGCCATGAAAAGCAGGCACTGTAGAATCAGGCTCGGAAGGTTCAAATCCCAGTTCTGTCGCTTATTAGTACAGTAATCTGTCACATTAATTAATCCCTCAAAATCTCAGTTTCCTCATTTGTAAGGAATACTCACCTTAGAAGATTCTGTGAATCTAAATTGAGTTAATGCCAGGCATGTCGTAAGAGCCATATAAGTATTTACAGATATTATTAATTTTGTTTTGTCCATAGGTTCTTTGAAATTTGCATTCTAGTTCTTTGAAAACTGTAGCTTGTTGAATGCTTACAATCAACATTTTTAAGTATAGGCAGGCCTTGTTTTATGCCTCAAAGATGTGTTTTTTTTTACAAACTGAAGGTTTGGCAAGTCTTTTTGTCACGATTTTTTCCATCAGCATCTGCCTACTGCGTGTCTCTTAGTCACACGTTAGTAATTTTCACAGTATTTCAAACTTTTTCATATTGCACTTAGTAGACTGTGGTGGGAGGGTAAGTGACTCGAGTTCTGGTTCACACACAGGTTAATTCAAACAAGACGTGTTTATACATGTCTCTGCGATCGGTGGATGGCTGCAGACCAGTTCTTGTGGTGGTACATTTGTCTTAGTCTCATTAGGGTACCTTGCCAAACAGGCTCCCATCAAAACAGTGGCTTCTCAGGGGATCTGTTGGTCCTGTTAAATTCAAAGCATGGAAGTCAGTTCAAACAGCGGTCTCAATCATTTTTTGGTGGGGAGGATTCTAAAGAGGGTCATCTTGATAGATTGTCTTGAAGGACACAGCCTAATCACAGGGGCTCCCAGAAAAATTTTATGATGATTGAAAATAGCGTTGATGAGTCAAAGGCAGTTTTAAAAATATATATTTATATGTTATGATTTCTATAAGAGGTACCAAAATGTAATGGTTTAAATGACACACATGCGTTATCTTACATTTCTGTTGGTTTGAAACCTAAGACAATTTTGTTGGACTTACAGATGTCAGTGAGGTTATGCCCTTTGCTGAAGGCTTTCGCATAGAGTCCATTTCTTTGTTGATTTTTGGTTGGGTTTTACAGTCTCCAAAGGTCACCAGCATTCCTTGGCTTATCACTCTTTTCTCCATCTTCAAAGTCAGCATTGGATGTTTAAAACCATAAGCCCAGTGCCATCAACTTGATTTCAGCTCATAGTCACCCTATGGGACTGAAGAGAACTGCTCTTTGGTTTTCCGAGGCTGTAAATCTTTATGAGAGTGGAAGCCTCATCTTCCTTCTGTGGCGTGGCTAATGGATTCAAACTGCTGGCCTTGTAGTTAGCAGCCTAAAGCATCAACCACTACATTACTCGATCCCCTTATCGGATGGTTAATCTTTCTCAAATGGCTTCACTCTGACTCTTCTCTGGCCTGCTTTTTTCATTTCTATAACAATAAACTTGTTATGGTAAAACACACATACACACAAACAACAACCATAGGAAAACAGCTTTGGTGAAACAGAAAGCCAAATAAAAAGCACCAAGGACTTTTTTCTTCCATCACAACACTGCATTTGCGTATTGTTTGAGGTAACAAGGGCTATCCTATGAGAATTCCATTCATAAACTGTGTCCCATTCACCCTGTAGCCCTGATCTAGCTCCTTCAGATTTTTCATTCCCCAAATTCAAAGGGAACATAATTTGAGTCCCTTGGGGATGCCAAAATTGCATTTTGTTATGATATAAATGGAAGAGCGCAGGATTCTTCATGGATGGGTTAAGAGCTGGAAACCCTGCCGTCAGAAGTGTAGATCTAGACAGAGGATATGCTGAGAAACAGTAGTGTCACATTTTCATACTTCTGTGTAATAAAGGTTTCTATTATTTTGTAGCAGTGCTTTTT